ATGTGAAAGTCTCTGTCCACATGTGAAAGTCTCTGTAGTTGGCAGGTTAGCAGAAACAATATTTTGCAAGTCTGCCCATTTTTTCCCTCAAAATTCAAAACAGAAATACATAAAAAGCTTTGTTTTCAATATATAGGGATGTATTCTTACTCTTTTTTTCTTATTCTACTTGGTATTCTATTTGGTAGATCAATTAGTTTGTTGTATGTCGTTTCTCTTCAGCTTGCCCCCCACCGAAATCTGTCTTCCCTCTGCCTATCTTAAAGGGTATTGTTTGTGTCACTGTAACATACACTGGTGTAAGCATGAAGCCCTCCTGGGAGAGGGCCATCCTAATAGAAATATACTTGTTATATTCATATACTTCTATTAGGGTCCTTTTACTCCCCCCAAGAACCCTGAAATGACAGAATTATTCCGAGAGACCAAAATTTGCTCTCCTAGTTCTTGCTGTTGTGATCCTGCTATTTGCCTTGTTTCCTTCTCTCAGGATCCTGAATTCCACTATCTGATGATCGCTGCACCCAAAGATGTTCCTGACTTTCACATTCCCAACTAATTCTCCTTTGTTCGTGATTACGAAGCCCAGCTAAACACCTCCCCTTGCTAGCTTCTCAGTCATCTGTCTCAAGAAGTTACTGTTAATGCACTCTAGAAATTTCCTAGATTCCTAGATACTCAAGGGAAAAAAAACATTTGTCTATGTAATTTCTAGGTCACCTTAATGATACTGAATTCTGAAAAGCGTGCATGGTAAAATAAGAATTTAGTAAACACATCTTTCTCTTCTAGGGGAACGGCCATTTCAGTGTGCACTATGTGAAAAGGCTTTTAACCAGAAGAGCGCTCTTCAAGTTCATATGAAAAAGCACACAGGAGAGAGGCCTTACAAATGTGATTACTGTGCGATGGGATTTACGCAGAAAAGCAATATGAAACTCCATATGAAACGGGCTCATGGTTACACTGGTATGTAGCATAATGATAGCAATGGTGAGTGCAGAAAGCCCTGTGGTTCACTAGGAAAGGACAAAATGCTTGCCCTAAGTTACTGAGGGATTTAGGCAACAATAACACCAGTGCTGGTGAGTTAGTATTTGAACACAACCCAAACAGCAGGTTGAAACAGATGGGTTAGCACTTCTGGTTCCTGCTTTTTATGTGGAGCTCTACATTGCAGAAGTAGGAAGTTCAAAAACTCTAATAGGAAAACAATTATATTTTGTGATTTTTTAAGAAAGATATTTTAATTTTTCTTAACTACACATCCAATCATACTTATTTTATTTATTTTTTTTGGAAGGTCCTGTACAAGAACCTGCTAGCAATCAAGAACAAGAAGGGGAAGATATTAGTCGTGCTCTGAATTTAGAAGAAGTGGTACAAGAATCTTCAAATGAATGGCAAAGTATAGGCAGTGTTTTTCGATGACAACTTAAAATCTGAAAGCTAAAAATGTTTTTGGGACTTGAATTTCTCTATAAACAAGTTTTCAGAGAAGAAAAAGTTGGATTTTACAGTTGAGGCTTCAAGCATTGGAAATATTAACAATAGAATAATATATTATAGGTTTTTTAATTATTTACAAAAATTACCTAAAAGAATCATTGTCTTTTTTTAAGCTTGTTGAAGAATATTGGTAAAACATCACTTAATCTGTGCAAGTTGTCTGTGAATCAATGAACTCAGGTAATACTGTATACAGTTTCATCTTCTAATTCACAGCCAGTATATCTATTTGAAAAATAAACTGGAACTTCATACCAGAGTAGAATGATTCCCATTTTTAAAGGAGATGAAGAATAACTTAACTTCATGGGGAAGCTATGAAGCTGTTAGCTTCATTTTTTTTTCCTCTTGTTTAAAGAAATAATTGAGTTTGGAAACAATGTTACAAAGTAGATGCATGCAGTATAAATTAGATCTTTGTTTTTTACAAGGCACGGGAAAATGCTATATTTCTGTTTTAACCATTTTGAGAATTCGAAAAAAAAAAATAAATTGCCATAAATTTATGGCTTTTCTTGAGTTACGCTCTTCAGAGGGCACATGTTCATTTCCATTCCAACCACAGGGGCAGTTCAGTTTGTTGTTAGATTTTACATTAAAATGCCTGAGATTTTAAACTCAGCAATAATTATTTAAAGAAAATTCAAACTAGAAGAGGTTACAAAGAAATCCTCTTTTATGTTTGCTGTATTGGATTAGCAGGTACATATCCCAGTATCTGTGGAAAGCACAGCCTTACACTAAATTTGGGAATTAAACATGCAGTTCTCTGTTAGCGATAGTCAAAGTGAGTTGCACATTAGGTCACCTGTATTATACAAAATTCCCCAGTGCTGTAAATGGTTATTTTAAATCTGTAAATTCCTCATTGTTTTCTTTGTGAATTTGGGAACTTGTTACTTTCATATGCTGTTGTTGAAGTCATTGTTTCAGCAAAACTACCTAAGTAATACTTTGACAGGTGCCACTTCTTAAGTATATTCATAGCAAAGAAACACTGGAGTAAAAACATAGTCATCTTTTAGACATTCCAAAGACAGAAGCTTTTTTCTTATTTTTACCTTGTTCTTTTGAGTTTTATTTATATGTTACATATATATAGATATATATATATGTGTGCTTGTATATATATATATTTAAAGTTATATGAGCCTCTGTGTGGCTGATCAGTATATTTTGTAAATACTAATCCCATTTGCAGGAAGTTCATCTTTTCATTTTGCTGCAAGTACTTCTAGATCAGTGGTGGATTCATTGTACTATAATACAGAGCTGGATTTTAATTTACTTTCTGAAAGATAATTGCTCTCAAATCCAGAAAGCCCTTTTTTGTAAATATTGTCTATACTTTGTCTATGATACAAACTAGTTATTTCGGATTGCTGAATCAAGAAATCACTGTTGTTTTTGATAGGGCATCTCAAATCTTTTGTTAACTCTTTGGCATATGTATATAAGTAATATAGTTGGTGACATGAAAATAACACTTTTGTTATGTGGAATATTTAATTCAAAAACATGTTAAATAATATTACTTTTTTCCAAATTCTGCTTTGTGTGTTTTTTTCAGCATTTTACTCGGGTTTCTAGGAAACTGAAAACTGTTTAATAGAAGTGTGCCCCTCTCATATTTAAAGAAGTCTTCTAGCAGTGTCTTTCCTTCCAGACAGTGTTAGTGTTTCAGCTGTTTAAGGACATTTTACAGTTGTTGTCTGAAGGCATATTCACCCCTTCACACGGCCCCCTATTTACCTATATAATAAGATAGATTTTGAAGTTACACAGCCCAGAAAAAGTTCAAATGGGCTGTGTGATACATGCCATGTATAAAACACTTCTGCTCTTTCAGAGAATAGTGTATATGCACAGCAAGGTTTGCTGGACTTGATTTGTTGCATATGTGATAATGGTGTCCAGAGGTGGCCGAATATACTTCGACAGAAAATTATTTGCATGTGGTTATGTCCAGATGTAATTCCATCCTTCATACTGGCAGGAGGATTCTTAAACGTATGAAAGCATTGCCTACTCTGCCTCTGGTTGCTTTGCAGCAAGTCAGAAGTGGCAGTGGTTGGAAACAAGAGATGAGATTGGGCTAAAAACAGATCTCATGAGTAAAAGGATGCAGTTTTAAAATGATCACTTCTCAAAGTGTTTTCTCAACAAGAGGCAATGAGTGTGTATTGCAAGTCTTGGAAGTGACAAATCAATAGCATGAGTTATGTAGTCACCTGACACTTTTCCTGAATTTGGTTTGCTTCTCCTTTAGCTCTTGCAGTCCTGACAGTTACAGTAAATAGGCTTCCTAAAAACATTTCTGTACCACGGTATTTTGTGTGCTTGCCCCACCACCACCCCACCTCCTTGCCGGTGAACTTCAGGAATCCACTCTCGAATATCCTGATAGAGAGGTTTTCATAGCACACATTACTTGGTGAGATTGAACTGGAAGCTTTCAGAGCAATGTATCTGATGTTCAGTACAAATACAGGCGCTGGAACAAATATGTTAATAATGCTCTTGAAAATCCAAAGCAGATGCATTTTGTTCAGGAACTGGAAAGAACCCTGAACCCTTATTCAGGGACCTTGCTGAAGAGTCAGACTGTGTAGTGGGTAAGGCAAAACAGGGCTTAGGAATTCCTCTGTTCTTTCTGGTTTGTTGCAGTAGTAGGTTTCTGCTTGCCTCAGGCCTTTTCGCATGTGTCTGCTGAAGAATTGCTTTTGGTTTATGTTTTTATGTCCGTTCCCTCAGCACAAGAAATGACAAACTCCTAGTGTTGGTTGTCCATTATTATCAGAAAAATCTTTTTTTCATTAGTCGCATAGCCATATAAATTGCTGTTTTGTCAGCAAAGCTACTATTAAGTAATTACAAAGAAAGATTTCACTCTAAGTTTTAGTCTCACAAGAATTGTGTTGGTAAAATATTGTTCTAAATTACTGTGCCTTTTCTATATGAAGTAAACAAAAAAAAGACACTTCTAGACTCTGAAAAAAAAAGTTACTGAGGAGGAGGAGAGTGGTGACAGAAAGGAAGAAGCTTTAGCTAAGATCTGTAGTTGCACAGTGCAGTATTCCGAAAGATTTCTCTCACATTTTTTACCTTAAATATTCTTTACCATTTTTGAAGAATTCTTGAAAAATTAAATTGAGTTTTTGCATGCTCTGTTCAATAAAGGCGCTTTGTGTTGTACTTGTCTATGAAGGGCAGGATTTTATTGCCTATACATAGGCATTTTATGCCTTGCAATATCCCCCTGGCCTTTAGCTACCACTGCAGAGACGCTGATCTCCTATAAATCCTGTGTCATATTTGTCAGCTGTGTGGGCCACGTTAAGTCACCGGCAATGTCACTAGAAGCCTGTGAACAGGCAAGGGAGTCCTGCCCAAAATGTCATTTTCCAGTCTCTTAATTCTTAATAAACTTCAGGGAAAATAATACTGTTGTGTACACAACGGATGTTATAAAAGACAAGAATTGGTCCAAGTTTCATTACAAGTTGATTACTTTATTTCGATACTGAATATTTTTAAAAGCTTTGTTCCTATAAGAACAATATGTGTTCAAATTAAATCAACTATTACGTTGCGGAGTATACATCTGAACGAAGCTACAATAGAAAAATACACATAGCAAACAATGCAGGTAACAGAAGATGTAACGCGTGTGTACTCAATAGTTTTGGTGGTTTTGTTTTCTTTAATCTCTATGTATTTTCTATCCTCTCATTTTCCACTGCTTTATATTAATATATGCTGAATAGAAACCTAAAATAGATCTAGATGTGAAATGGAATTAACATACACGTTTATAGGTGACTTTTACTGGGCACTTACTATAGATGCAGTTTCAACCTGGGAAGCATTAACTGTAGTCTATAACACATTGGCTAAAACTAAAATAGAAAAGAAGAATTAATTAAGACACTTAGACGATAGCTTGAAGGAATGGTAAGTTTAAGTAATAAAACAGTGCAATTCAGAAGAGCCTTGTATTTCTCTATGTGGCTGGAAATACCATTGCCACACATTCATTTTAGTTACTTGTGAACAATTAATACCTAAATCTAACTCGGCTATAATTTATTTCTATCAGGCAACTACAGTACAACAGTTAAACGTTCACAGTAGTTTTACTATGAGTTGGCTTTGGTGCACTGCCCTGAACAGGCATCCAGGTGTTATTCAGGCAAAAGCTGAGCCAACCAAACCCAACACTGCTGCAATACCAAGACCTAGGTTTGAAATTCTATCATAAGATGTGCAGGACTATCTGAGATACCAGTACTGAAGGGCTCTCTTTCAGAAATTAGACTTATTTATGTATACGTTTATTTACTTACTTATTTTACTGCAAAGTTAATGCTGCTGCAGCAGAGTTCGCGTGGAGCAACAGTGACGTCCAGTGGTCGGTCACATGTGCAATCTTAGATGTTTCGTTGCTGGGAATATCCCTTGTTTCTTAACATTAGTCTAACTCAAATTTGAAATCCTCTTTCTCTCCCTCATCTGCTCTTAATTCTAATGGTTTGGATGCGACGAGCAATTTTTGGTATGGAAAGCATTTCCTTATTACAGCTGCTCTGCATCGTATTGATTCTACAACATCTGCCCCCTCCCACATTTCACATACCTTGAACTCCCAATGTTTGGTAAACCTTTCCATGACTGCCTAATCCTGTTATGAAAATAAATTATTCTGTGAGTGAGAGAAGGAAGATTAAAACAAAACAAAAACCAAACAAAAATCCCAAATTAAAAAAACGTATTTGGATAAACAGTCCTTACAACTTCTGCACAAGGTGGATTTTTTTTTTTCTTTACAGCAGTGTCTCAGAAATTCGTTAACAGCAGTGCTCAGTATTCAAGATGTTAGCTCTTTATTTGCAATTCTGATGTTCAATAAAATGAAACCAGAAGACTCGAGCTCAAATTAAGGGCACGGGAGAAATAATGAAGTCCAGCGTACAGTTAGGGCATCCTGAAGAAGAATGAGTAAAGTCAAGAGATCTTGTTACTTTACATAAAAATAGGGAAAACTTCTAGTAAAGCTACTCTGTGTGTTCCTTTCATTCAACTGTTGGTCAGGGATTGCCAATAGAAGTTTGTGTAACCTACTGCATGCAGAACCTAATTGGCATTAAGTAATGGATGGCATCTAACTAGGTAATTCTCGCAGTTGTTATTAATTTTAAGGCCGTTACATTATGAAGCAGAGTATGTGATCCTTGAGTGGCATCTTAGAGCCTCAGCGCCTCGCAACTGGTGAACCAGACCGCGATCCAGGTCGGGAGCCAGAGCCTCCCTGTGGAAGGAAGAGCAAAGTGAAATTAAAAGGTACTGGATATTTAGGGCTGTGCAAAAAGCAATCATTCCCTAATGCAATAAAATTATAAATATCTAGTGATAATTATAATGGCTTTGCAGTGACCTCTAGTATATTTTTAAATCTTATTTGAATTTTCACTTGAAAGAAATGATTGCTTTTCATATATTTTCACATAGGGTTAATTTCTTCTCATTAAATTTCTTATACAGGGCTAGGCAGTCTCTCATGAATCATTTGTAAATGAGTGTTCTTATTCAGACCTTGCTTATGAAAGCAATTTATTTATTTGGACATCTTAAAATGTTTCATTTTCATCCCCTCTTGTCACTCCAAGGAGAGGGAGACTACTGCCTCTTTATGGCTAGCCCCTAATCTGTATATATTAAAAACAAACAAACAAACAAACAAACAAACAAAACCACCACAAATCCAGACCTTGCATACAAGTTGAAATGTAATCAATTTATTGGTGTAAGTGCTTATGTAAGTTTTTAAATGTATGCAGTTTTATCAACATCCGTCTTCTAGGGAAGACTACGATACAAGTATAGGAAAAAAAATAAAAAGAGATGAAGGGCTGAAACCTGACCTATTCTTACAAATAAGAAAGCATCAAAATAGGAAAAAAGATTTGCCCAGGGAAGCTGTGGATGCCCCATCCCTGGAGGTGCTCAAGGCCAGGCTGAATGGGGCTTTGGGCAACCTGGTCTGGAGGGAGGTGTCCCTGCCCATGGCAGGGGAATGGAACTGGGTGGGCTTTGAGGTCCCTTCCAGCCCCCAAACCATTCTGTGATTCTGTGGTAATTCTCAGTCTTTGAGTACATTTGTGACAATTCATAAATTTTAAAGCCCTACAGCAGTTTTATGGCAAAGGTGATCGAAGCTAGAAGGTTTGGCATTTCTTTCTTTAAGTCGTTTATTTCAATATAAGATAAAGCTGACTGGGTATCTTTTCCCATCATACTGCAACAGAAGAATTTGTACTACCTCCTTGAAATTTTCCAGCTCTCACTTGAGGCTGCTTGTGTTTGAAAGGCAGCTTTACAGTGAGACATGCCTTAAGCCATGTAAGAGAGAAAAATGTATATTTTGCTACAGGTGAAGGTTTTGTCATGCATTCTGTTGGAGAGTTTGAGATGATCAGCTCTGCTAATGGTACCTCAGACCTTTTGTCTTCAAGTTAAGATTACTGTTGATCATGTTCATCATGTGAGAATAGTGTATAACGATTTGTTACCAGCGAGTGCTTTACTACCTCTCTGAGGCAAAACACAGTCATGGTTAAAGCAGTGTGTATGATGTGCTTGTCATGTGTCTTTTACCTAACACAGAATGTAAAAAAAATTCTGGGCTATGTTCTGCTGCGATGCAGGCTTGTATCCGGTAGAGACTTATGTAGTAAGAATATTTCTTTTGGAGATTTACAGAGGTAAAAATAAGACTGAACTGTTTGTGTTTGTTTGTTTGTTTGTTTGTTTTAAAGTAAGCAATTGGTTGGTATCTCTCTGTTTTGGGAACTGGGAATGTTAGCTACAAAAATACCTAAATGAGTTCACTGTGGCTTCCAACATCTAGAAATAATGAAATTTATTTCATGAAATTGTAATCTTAATAATCTATGTATTTTATTTTGTACTTCTTTTCCCTGTGTTTTTACAGTTACATATTACATACTGCTGGCATCTACATCTGCGATGGTAAGTTCCGAAGCTGAATTGGATGTTTTGTGACAATATTTCTTTTTGCATATGTTAAGCATCCGAATTAATAAGTTGATTTGAGGCCTCTAACTGTTGTTTTAATGATACATCTAGGATTAGGCTTTTCCCCATTTATCTTCCTTGCATATATATATATATATATATATGTATGTATGTATGTATGTATATGTCTATTTATTTATTTTTCTAACTTAAACTGCAATTCAATTGCTATTTCTATTGGTAGCTTGATCAGCACCTGTAAATCCTCATGCCTGACATTTTTCCTGCTCTGTTTTAATTTATTAGCACCAGAGGGTGCTGTGTGGTGTCTCAAAGTAATGAATTAGCCAGATTAAAGATGATCTTGATGAAGTGTTTATTTTTAATATGACAGTTTTCTAATTTGCATATGTGGTTTTATAAGTCCCTCTGCCAACATTGTAGGAGCTCTCACACCTGGGGTGGGAACAAGCAGGAACAGCCCAAGTTGTTCTGTACCAAGTATTTGTGAAACTATGCCCTAGACTTCATTCTACAGAGTATCAGTGGGCTTTTGTTTTCACTACTCTACATAAAGCCTGCTGCTGCTGAGAAATTGTCACTTTAATTACCTTCTGAGCTTCAGATCAGTTGTGAGTTCCTTAATAACAGATCCTGGTGCAGCTCTTTGTGTAGCTTTGTGGACTTACCTTCTTTCCTGGTGGTAACTGGGAGTGTGTTTCTACCTTTGTTTCCTATCCTATATTTACTAGGCCATGAGATAACCTTCTGTTTTACCCATGAATACCTAGCTCCTTCAGAAGCTTTAAGGAAATGTGGCAGTTTCAAATATGTCAGGTTCTGGAGAGGACTGGCTTCTCTTTTTCCTGGACTCAATTTTTCATACTTATAGTAAATTCAATTGTACTTTACCAGTTTAAAGATTTTGGAAAGAGTGCCCTGGCCCTCATGATAGGATCCCTTGTGTCCCTTGTGAGCAGATTTATGCTCATAGAATTTTCCGCTTCCTCCGTATCCTGGCTTGTGTCCTTCACCACCCTGCAACGAAAGATTTTTGTATGTATTGCAAATTAACATATAGAAATTGACATATATTCACATTGTAATCTTTCTTTGCCATCGCTGAAATGCAATACTTGAACGAGAACCATAAAGGTGTTGGAATAAAATAACCTTTTAAGTAGCAAGCCAGGATGAAGGAAAATATTAGGAGATTATCAGAATATGCTTAAATCTGAGGGAAGCACCAATCTGTAAAAGAAGAATTAATGATCAACAATGGATGCTCAGGATGTTAACCTGCATGGCAAAACTTAAAAAGTTTGCAGTTTTACAAGATCTGGGATGGCTAACGCATCAAGTAAACTGGTGGTCTACTGATGGTGAAAGAAATGGTTGACAGCATGAAGGCTTTAATGTGTTTCGTCTTAAAATGTACACGTTCCTCTCCTAACAAAACCAAACCTGTGGTAGAGAAGTAGAATTGAATTAGCTGTGATGACTGTAGGAAGAACTTGTCTAATAGCTGTTTAGTCAGGTCTCTCCTTACTGAAAAGGGATGTGAGGAAAGGTAAGACGAAATACTTGAATTAGTGACAGTGTTAGTTTTGCAGGGTTTGCTGTGTAAGAACAGCTGGAACTGTGGGGCAGCTTCCCGTCTTGTCCCAGCCCCACCCTTGTATTTTTGTCATTCCCATGTAAAGAGAAATGCAGCAGATGAGTTGTCCGGGAATCTTTAAAGGAGGAGAGCTTTGCCATGCAGTGGGTTTTGCTCCCGTTGTGCTAAAGCAAAAGAAGTTACCGCTGCAAGGCTGTGAAGTTGTTGGGTAAGAGCAAGCGGCGTGATTACCGTCTTAAAGTGCTGTGGGAGGAGGGAGGAAAGTGGGGCAGGAAAAGCAAAATAGCAAAATTGAGACAAAACAAAATTATCACGTTGCTGCAGCAGCTTGAGGCAGTGGAGCAAGATATGCTTTGGCCTGGTAAATAAAATGGCTTTTACTGCAAGCGCGTTCATCACCTACCCAGCTAAATCTGGTGAGGGATAATCCTCTTCCCTGTACATGTAAGAAACAGAAACAATGGCATGTTGATCACTGTGGAATATAACATCTGCATGTGTGATGCACAGATGGTGATGGAAATGCAGTAAAGATAACGAAATACTGGCTGGATAACAAAGCATCGGTTGAAATCAACAGTCTATGTACTGTCATTACATAAAAATGAAAAAGGCAAAATTCTCAATCAAAACTAGAGGAGCTTCCATCACAAGCCATGGTTTGTCAGGGCTGGCTACTTCAGGAGCCATTGGAGCTTAGTACATATAGGGACAGCTCCTGGGGGGGGAGGCTTGTCTGAAAGCATTACCCACTGTTGGGCATCTTGTATGTTACTCAGTGCAATCCCAACAGAATTGGGCTGCAAAGATCCCCGTGTGGGACTGCACTTGGCTCAGTGCCATGCAGGAAATCAGCCAGTACATGAGGAAGAGAACCATGGCTTTTCAATCTTAGTCCCTTGCTTGAGATATTCCCTTAGATAGCTCCTGATTTTAATTTAATATGGATAGAGAAAATGAATGAGGCCAACAGCTGAATTGGCATAAACGAGCCTACAAAAAATCTCGGGCATTGCACGAGGCCCTGCAAACACTCACCTTTGCTTGCATTGGAGGAGGGGTGCGGGGTGAGACCTAAAAACCAATACAAAACAGAATTATAAAACCACGGCAACAATAAATGTAGGTAACCATCAAGCCTTTTGCCTATTATCTGAGATACTAGACCATAGTGTTAATTCTTGTTTAATTTTGTTGTACACTTTATTGCCATAGCTGTTTTTAAACAAAAGGCATGCCTAAAGACACCCCATGCCAAACACACCAGCACAAACCTTGTGAATGGTGAAGTTGTATAATTGCAATCGCTGTTGTTGAAATTTGGCTGTGCTGACCGAGGGCTCACCCACTTTTTTGTAGCATTTCAGTGGTGTTTGCGTTTCCAGTTAAATTAGATTTGTATCAGATTGCACGGTTAGCTCTAAAGCACGAAACAACTCATGAGTTTCCACACAGAGGCAAACGATTGTGGGTTATTTGGTTACTGACGGATCACGAAGAAAGTCTCTCATTTTAGTGCATAACGAGAAGAGATGAGACTTACAATGTTCTTGAAGAAGTGGACTACGGGGTTGTCATCACCAGGCCGGCCGTGCTGAGATCTCTGGGGGATGGACCCTACGTGGCTGGCCCTGGCTGCGTGTATATCCTGCAAAGCAGAATAGGCAGAGCGCCAAGTCAGCAAGGAGGGAAGGACAGCTGGAAGTGTGAGAAGGGAAAACTCGTTTTCACCAGCAGAGAACAAAGGAGGAAAATGCCTCAGTAGTCTGCAGGGACTGCGATCTAAACTTGGCAGTGCTGCGAAGGAACAACTCTTTAATACAATGGCAAGTGCACTGTATGTACATGTGTGTATGCATATATATGTTATGCGTGTGTATGTATAGGTGTATGTATATGCATATCTATATATAGATATATGTATATGTACATATAGATATAGGTGTACATGTTTTTAACATTAGAGCCCAGTGTGGAACTAAATCTGTTATGGGACAGTTCTGGTAGCAGAAACTTTAAAATTTTCCTTCCTTCTAAGTGGCTCATAGAATGTAATTTTAGAAAAGGAAACCTGAGGAGAGGAGATGCTGGATCATTTGTGAGAGCAAATCCAGAAAAACAAACAAACAAAAAAAACCAACTCATTTTCTCAGTTTTCAGTGACTACATAGCACTGGTGAACTGCAAGAGCAACTGTTTTTACAATGAAGGAATTAAATGAGACTGACAATTCTTTCAATTTTCAGTGGTGCTCCTGTAGCAATACAGAAAAGTCCACTAAGAGAAGGCATAAGGACACAAATAACATTGCAAAGAGTGAATGCCTTGACAGGTGCTTAGAGCGTGGCGCATCTGCTGTGGTGAAAATAGCATTTAAATAAAAAAAAGTAAAAAGTTATTGTTATATAGATGCAGTATGACTAAGTTTTAAAAAACTGTTATGTATGACTGTCCCAAATGATGACGTGTCCGTCCATCAGTGTAAGTGTAGAGCCACAGTGCCTCACGTTGAGCACAAAAATTCTTAAGCGTATGCAGTAGGGAACAGAGAAGGTAGGAGAGAATTAAAATAACGTTAGTACAGCAATGGTTCTCTCAGTATAATGAATTCCATGCAAATACAGTGACATTATATGCACCAGGTGGATAATAACATATTTTTTTGGCTTCTAAATATGACATATAAATATGTAGTGAGACAACCACTCACATAAGCACTTAGTTGTCCAAACTGAATGGACATTTGACTATATAGTAATATGAGTAGTTATTTAAAATACACTTTATTTTCATCACATATAGGAAAAACATTGATCAATTTGCCAAGGAAAAAACTTAGTCTTATTGTTGGAGCAAGACTCCTGACTGGTGAACGGTTTGGTGAATTTTGAGAAGTAAGTTAGCATCTATAGAACAGAGTTTCAAAGGCTGGAAGAATGTTTTTGGGCTTTGATTGTCTAGTGACATCTGCAGCTTTCAGAGCAACCCTGCCCTGCCTGTGTAGCCAGTTCTCAGCAGTCATATTTTGAGACAGAGATTTATTTCCATGTGCTTAGATCCATGGATAAAAGGTCCCACAGAGCTACCTAATGTTACTGCTCAAAGCTACTGAATGGAAGATCTATCTTAAATGGGTGGAGGCAGATCTTGTGACTCTATGTGAATGAAATGTCTTTATCCTATGTTGGATCCTCTGAAATGAAAGTCAGAAGTGTCCATGAGCGGTGCCTTTTAAGTTGTGTGTTCCTTAAGAGAAATGAATGTCAGATTGTTTAGGAGATTCATTTCCTTAGGACAAAAACAAGCAGATGCAGAGAAGTTCAACGGGTATTTATCAGCATTTTTTACATGCTGATGATATCTAGAGATTTACTGTTTAAAAAGCAGGAATTCTGAACTTTATTGGGTCACTGGGATTTCCACGGTGCCAGGCAGGCAGTCCTGCTCGTGCTTCTGCAGCAGTTTCCATCCTGCAGCTAGTCCCAGCATTGCCAAAATACCCCAGGTTGCCATCATGAGGAAGAAAGGCATCAACATGTTTGCATGTTTAGAACCAAGATACTTCTGCTATGTTTTGCCTTTTAAATCTATATTTAAAGAAAGCATTGCTTTGCCTCTGAAACTGGTTGGGTGCATTGTCCTTATGATAAGTGTCCTGATTTGTGTTCTGGTGCACTTCTCCTTTGGCAGTGTCGCAGGTGACAATTCCTGTCCTAGCAGCATGTTGCTGTCTATCCATGAAACTCTGACAGTACACGAAGTGGAATAAAATTAAATTAGTTTTTGCATGGGAGTAGCCTGCAATTCTGCAATGGGCTGTGGATTGCCAGCAGGCGGTAGCAAGTGTTCTATGGATTGCTATCAGGAAGCAGCAAATCTGAAAACATTAAGGATGGTTCTGTATGAATTTAAGATGGTGTTTCCCCACATCACAAATAATGTGCTTTTTGTTCGTGTGATTAGCAGATTTCACCTGTGGGCAGAATCTTCAATATTCTATGTTTTTGGCATGTGATTATATGTTTTCCTTTGATTTATGAGCAGATGGACTTGCTTTTCCACCTATATGGTGTTCTTTTCAGGTTTTGGAGTCCTAATGGAGAGAAGGGAAAATCCTTTTTTTTTTTTACTTGCTCATATACATGATTTACAAAAACCATTTCCCTCAGAAAAGTAATAACTGATATCTGTAAGTGTTAGAAGTTAAATTTGGATGGATTCATGCAATACTTGGTTGAATGAAAGGGAAGACAAATCAGGTTTATTGTGCTAGGTTAGGCTACTGAGGTTTTGTTTTGTAGCTGGACTTTTTTTGAATGAGCTCACTGAGTCATTGATTGTTTCATTAATACATTCAGGAGACCACCATTCGTCTTTAAATGCGCTTTAAGAGTGACATCCCCTTGTGCTGTAGCTCCCTTGGAGAATTTGCCTGACTTTTGGTCTTCAGGGCACTGCCAATGAAGTCAAACTTGGCTTCCATAATCTATTTGTTATGAAACATACTTGTAAAGTATAGTCTTGAATTCAGACCTCTTGGGTTACTGTTTGTGAATTTTAAAACAGAGGTTCATCTGTGCCAGTGTAATTTCTGGGTCAGCCGAATGGTTTGTAGTGAACACCAAGCAGTCTTGCTTTCCAAAAAACATACGGGACAGAGGAGAACACATCTTTCCACTGCTCCCAGTTTGCTTTTGTTTGACAGCTGTGTCAACCTGGATTAAATATGACCCAAAAAAGCCATAGAGGAAAGATTCCTTAATCTGAATAATCTTAATTATTTTACAGTATTTACCAGTATTGGATACTTAGACTGTATCTGGGAGATCTGAGGACACGGGCACAGTCTGCAACGTCAGTGTGGAATTAACAGTTTAAGGATTAATAAGGTAAATACTGAACTCTTAGATGTATTTCTGAATACCCATGGTTATTCTGTCACCAAGGCATTCGTTCTTAAAATGTTTTCCAGCTCTTTCTGGTGGCGCACTGTGAAGAATCTATATATAATTCTGCTTGGGCTTCATTTTGGCTGTTGTGCAAGATTATTCCGTTTCTAATTGCAGTGAGGACACCTGGGATGTGCTCTTCAGTTTTGGTTAGTAGACCTAACCAATTCTCTTGGTATTTTCCATGGCACTTTATAATTGCTAAGGGGTGTTACTGCCTGTACTCTACAGAGATTAGAGAGAGGGGTCTTGGGATTTTTGATAAATGAAGCATGGGGGCCTTTGGTCTGAACATTTGTACACTGGGTTTGATAATCCTGTTTTGTGATATATTCATCCAACTTGATGGTTGGAGATTAAATTTGCTTTCCTTTAAAACAATTGCAGTTAAGTAATCTACATGTCCCACTTGATTTTGCCTTCAGATATGGTGGGTGTTAAATATGTGGTTAAGCAGAAGCAAGTATTTTTCAGTGATCCTATGAAATAAATCTCTGACTTTGCTTGGTATAAACATAGTATGTTAGATCTTGCAATTCATACTTACTAAGGGTGATTTTAAAATGCGTTACAAGCTCTAAGACCTCTTGTTCTCTGTAAGAGGATTGCATATAAGTAGGGATTGCATATACATGTAAAGATAAACTTAAAACTTGTAATTCCCAATCAGTTAATAACCTTTTTTTAGTGACAATAGCATTAAGATCTTTTGGTTTTGGAGTACTGAATTTATGTTCTTCAAATCTCTTTGAGTATCATTAATACATATTTTTTGTTGCCTCTTTTAGGAGGGGAGATGAAAATCTAAAGAACATCACATATGTAATGGCAAAATTGAGATGCATCCAAAACATGTAAAAATAGCTGATTTATAATGTAACCAAGCCTAGTAAGCATTTCTGACATTAATAGGAATGAAAAGCAATGGATGTTTTTCGTGGGTTCAGTGGATTTCATGATTTTCAATGGGTTGCCTTCAAAACAGTTATCTTCACCAAGAACACTGTGCATAATAAATAATAAATCATACAAAATCTACAAATTTCAAATTGATAGAGATATAGAAAGTACCTACAGGTTGCTGTATAAAACCAAACTGTTCCACAGCCTACAGGAAATAATGCTTAACCCCATGAAGAACTTTGCAACAGCACTGGCAGAATAAAATCGCCTTTAAGTGATAAATACAGCTCGTGCTAGTTTGTTTGAAGAGCAAGGTGAAAGAACAAGAGGCAATTTGTAAGCCACTCAGCTAATTCTGTGTGAGCACTTGAAAGGCACTCTGCATCCAAAGTCTCTCTGAGCACAAGGGAGTGGATATTCAGCTTTCAATTTCTGTAGTTAGAACTGTTTCCAAACAGTCTTCGGATGGGAGTGGAGAGACAGGTCCTTTCAATGAACGGTTCTACTTCTTTCTTTTAAAAAAGAGGAAATTTATTATATAGACTTTGAGTAGAGCAATCCCGGTCAAATTGACAAGTGCTTTTTTACAGGATTTGCTTCATCTCAGAATTCAGAGGTGTTTTGTGCATGGGCCTTTGTGCTCCTGAGCACAGCTGACATTGTTTCCTCCAGGCTCTTCACAGCTTACTGATGTGTTGCTGTAGGTGATGGGACTGTTCACTTCATCCCCCCATGCTGGGCCAAAGGTGACGGTATAAATGCTTATCTAACTCAACAAGCTTTTCTAATCACTTCA